GCCACTTAAATAACCCTGGCACTGTTGTAGCAATCATTAACATTTTATCTTTATCTTGTTGAATACTTTAAGAAGCATCAACAAGTGGAAGAGAAATAAATTAGACAACAGTGACTTGGAACAAAATTTTGAAATTAAAACCCTGGATGGAAATACCTCACACCGAGGAGCTGGCTCTGTATCTGAACTCTCCATCTTGTGCCCAACTCTAATCACTACCAATTTCTTTTTAAAAGCCTGTGCCTGAAAGAACTTATGTGTTATGAGACAGCTGTGACCTAAGTAAACTCCAAACAAATCATTCATCACTGCAAAACTCCAGAACAAGCTGGTACTTTCTCAGGGAACACTGTTCTTCTAAACACACATTACACATAAAGAGGAAACAGAAAGCACATACTGTAGGCTTTCATCAATTGTACACAAACAAAGCCTTTGAATACTCTCTGAAAAGGTTCGACATCATTACACTTGGGGTCAACAGGCTCTCAGAAGTTTAAGATCTCATTTTCCAAACTTTTAGTCAAAAGGGTCTTTTTAAGTGCAGGGGAGAAAGGAACACTTTTCCCTTGAATATCGTTATGTTCACAATACCCCTACTCAAATCCTTTCATGTACTATCTTCTTCCTTACCAAATTTAAAACTTCCCAACTTCAAGGTCTGGAACAGGAGGTGTTCACCCACATCAACAGCCATGGTTTCTGTCACCCGTCCTTCCTTTTCATGGCCTACATTGTTCCTGAAACAGTTGGCCTTTTCCAGTTCTTTGTCTCTTTCTTACCTTCCTGTCACTCAAATTTACCAAACACAATGTGCTAAGGGTTTTTGTTTGTTTGTTTGTTTGGTTTTGTTGTTTTTTGCCTTTTTGAATAATCTACCTAAAGATTCTTATGCAGATCCAGGAAGGTAACTACAGGACTGAGGAAATTCCATCATTTTATGTTCTGCAGCTCACACCCCAATGCAGTTAACGCCATGCTTTTGGTTTAGAGGCACACCACCATGCAAGAGCCATGCAGTTAATTTAAGTTAAAAGAGTGTCCATTCTAAAGAGGAACACCTACTTCTAAATAATAGAGCATTTTTAGTCCAGAAAAGTGTTTTAGTGTTACCACCTTAATCTAGTCACTATTTTCAACTTCTTTCCCTTTGAAAGCAAACACTGAATCACTCTGAACTACTAAGGACACAAATCTAACTTATTCTTTAACACAGTGGTTTTGGTTTAGCTACTTCAGCAGCTTTGGATAATAAACTAATAAAAGCACTAAGCAATCAATTTAGTACCACATTCTCTACAGAAATTAAGAAAAGCAATCATTTCGTCAATATATTTGGATTTTTGTCTCCTACATTAGTACCCCAGGCCCCAAGGCTTCTTTTTCTATAGGGGTTACCATTAAGCAACAGAAATAAATGTATTTAACACTTTGATATCCTGTAATTCATATCAACAGCTGCACAAATAATTACAGCCCTTCTCAGCTAAAGCCTTACCAATTTAATGAGTTTTCTCTGAGCAGGGAAGGACTGAAATCCCTTTGAGTGATAGGGAGCTCAGCAGAAGCCCTAACAAGTGTTAAGACACAAGTCGGATCCCCAGGGTATACAAATGCTACCCACTAGTGACCAAAAGAGCACAATTTCCAGGCTCTGGATATATTTCTGTTGCACCCTACCTGTATTCAATAGAAAGGGGTCACTTCTACCCTGACCAAGTAACCATTTCAGCATTCAGGTGTTAGTAGGAGAATTTTAACAGGCCATGTTTTTTGTTTAAGATCAATCAATTCCCTTTCCTTGCCTCTGATTCTCTGTTTTGTAAGAGGACCACTTACCAGCAAAATTTGACTCAGCCCCTTGCAGAAAATGGCATTAGCTGTTCATTTGTCAGCCAGGCCTACAGGACATCACAGGTTTTTTGGAACCAGATCTTTGTTTCTGTCCAGTCAAGGGGTGGCTAAATATGGAATCACATAAAACAGGGCTGGTGGGGACTGACAGGGTCATCTGCACCACCTCCTAATCTCCAGGTAGGACCAGTTTTGTCTAATCAATTCTTAGCAGCTATTTCTCTGACTTATTCTTAGGATACCCCATTGATGAGCTCCTATAATGCCTCCATGAAATTATTAGAAAGTTTCTTCTACAACTGACATGCATCTCCAGTTGAAGACAGTATTACTTCTTCTATTTTTCAGACTTTAAAAATGTTACTAAACCTGGTAATGTATAAATTCACATTGTTTTATTTACTCCTGATAGCAATTACTCTTTTTGCAAAAGTAGTTGCATATTGGCATGTCAATTGAGACTTCCCCTACAGTACTGCAGCAGCTGAGCCTTACAATATCACAACACTCATTTTGGTTTATGTTATTTTTTTCTACCAGAATTGAAACTTAAGTTGTAATCTATTCCTCATAACAAGATTCTAATTTTAGGCAGTCTGAAGGGGAAGATCCTAAGAAGGAAGTAACATCCTAGAACTTCCAACAGCAGGAATACTTTCTGGTGCCTAAAATTGCCACGAGTCAATTCTGAGCCATAGAATGTCACTTCCAAACTAATGTTTTCTTTTTTTGGTGATGCTTCAAGGAAGAAAACACAGTCAGTTTTCAAGATACTCAACCATTTCTGTCAAGTTATCTAGACCATGTAACAGCAGCTAATTTACAATGAGAGGTATCTACAACAGGCACCATTAAGTCTAAAGCTGACTGACTTCTCCCTAGACATCAATTTAACAAGATTATGATGTAGAAGGGTAGTGTACCTCTCTGTGTGAAGTGTAAGGTCTTTTATCCCAAAAAATTATTTTCTATTCCTCTTAGCTAATACACAGTAATGTATATACATTTGCAAGTAAGTAGCTGGTGCCTCTGTTTTTAATTCACCTTCAAATCAAGAAGGGTTCTAATTAAGATAACAGATTCATCTTCCTACTGTTCTTCCCCAACAGAGGTTTATAACTCTAAGTGTAAAACAGAAAATATATTCACATAGGAGATTAAAACATTCCTGAAAATGTGTAGCAAATGATCGGTTTCTGCAGGCAAAAGCAGAAAAAGCAAAGTTTGCATCTTCCTACTACTTCAAATTACAAATAAATTACTTTGTAAAGTTTTTCTCTTATTTGACTAATTCCCAGTCTGATATAGATCCTACATAACTAAACACTAAAATCCTTTCAATATGTTTAAAGGCAAAAGCTACTATTCTTGTTCCTTGACTGGATAATTAAATGTGACACTTGACTAAAGTGAGAATTTTAACATTTGAAGGTGGAATCTTGAAGAGAACGTAAAACTACTATCAACACAGCCCATCACAGACCAACACTGCTAAGTTTGGGGCTCCTTCAGTTTGTCTGGGGTTTTTGGTTTATTTTTTGTTGGGTTTGTTTGGGGGTTTTGTTAGGGTTTGATTGGCTCATTGGTTGGGTTTTGGTTTGTTGTATGTTTTGTTTGGGTTTTTTTTATTTTGTGAGGAGGGTGGTCATCTTTTCTATTTCAAGGTTTATCAAAGAGAGGGAAATGCCAGGGAACATTGCTTAATCTGACTGTAGCCAAATTACAGGATTAGTCTGGAAAATTCTGAATATCAGATTCTCTTTAGTGAGTATTTTTAAGACAAAATGAACAATTTGGGAACCATGAACATTATCAAAAAATAAACAAACCCCACATTTTCATAGAACATTAACCTAAAAGACTGTGAGTGCAATAAAACTGAATTTTTACCAATACAAATAATAATTATGCCATTTTCTTAATGTGCATTCTTTGTTTAGTTTTTTTTTTCTTAGATCAAACTATGACCATATACTGACCTGCCCAAATGTGATTCAGGTTCATTAGAGCATAAATCCACAAAACTATAAAGTCACATATTTCCCAGATAAAATAACTGTAGTTCACTTCTGGTTTTACCAAGTCTTCTTTGGTGTATGACAATAGCTTAATGGTTATGAACAACATCACCTTTTTTTCTGGCTGTAGTATCAGTTACTCATACTAATAAATGTTAAATATTAATTTAGAGATCTATCTTGCAATCTGTTCATAACTTAGTAGAAAGATATTTATATGCCTAAGGAAGCCAACAGGGATGGCTGGGAGAACTTAGAAATAATAGGCTTATGTTGCAATCTGCAAGTGCCAAGCACCCTAAAAAACCCACCACCTGCAGCTAAGTGTTTCAGAAAGCCTACCTCCTGTCAAAAACGTCTCTTCTGCACCAGCTGCTGTGGATGGGTTCTACAGGTATTTATGAGTGTGGCATACCAGAAAACAGCAGGCCAAAGAGGAGGAAAAGAACAAGCTGAGAAGTACCCAAAAATCCCCCTAGAATTGCTACGCTCTGGAGACTTGTGGACCTGTTGAATCCACAAGAACTGATACAAATCAAAACACCAAGAATCAGTTGAATCTGCAGAAGGCAACCAGCACAGACAAGCATCAGTAAGAATGTATGTAACTTAGTAGGCATCAGTGAAGGTAGTGCCTGCTATATGTAGACAAAGACCATAGGATCATATGCACACATGATGAACAAAAAGACCTTCTGGGTACTTCCTGAATATTAACCCAGAATTCACTGGAGCACTAGTGCCACTTTACAGTTGTAAGCAAACAAGTGTGATTGGTTCCCAGCTGTTCCTCCAATCAACTATTAGAATCAAGAGTGAGAACTGTGTGAAGGAATAGTTGCATATGCTCTATGATTGGTTATCTCCTATTAAAACCAGCTTGTTTTAATAACATCTGTTATTAACAGCTAAATTAATGAAAGGTGTTCCAGTTAATGCTGGTTGTGATATGCGTCTCCCCAACAAAATCCCTTATCAGGGAAAAAGGAATTTATAGCACTCCTTGTTCTGGTGCTAACCATATGAATGGCTCTACTCCTACCCAACAGGAGCAAGCAGTGTTAGGTATGCCCATACAAACTTCAGTGAGAAGAAAATGAGTATGATCTGTTATTTTAAAATACTTACTTGATAGGGATATAGAGTGACACCATTTGTTCTTGACAAAGACCAGGTGCCATCAAGGTACTGGTGAGCCTGGATAGCCACAGAGTTGAGAACGTTACCATTGCTGGGGCTGGTGGCCATTTGAAAGCTGACCTTGGTTTGGTGTCCAGGAGAGCCATTTTTCTTCTCCACCCCGTTGACAATTCCTAGACTGTTGGGTTTTCCGCTGTGTTTATTAGCAACAAAGCCCGTATAATTAGATGTAGCATAAGGAGCAGGCATGTATGCCCAGTCCCTGGACTGCAGGCTGCCCATGTGTCGAGGACTCACTAACGTTGGGATATTGGAGAGAGGTGGGGGAGAGCCTGGTGAGGCATCGTAATGTTCTGAGTTGGCAGCTTGCTCTAAGGTCAGCACCATCTGAATGGCCTCTTGCTTCAGCTGGTTCAGGTGTGTGGCACAAACATCACATCTGTTGTCCTTCTCATTCCATGCCTTGCGAATGGTATTAGGAACCTGGAGCTTGTCATGAATCACTGAAGAGAAACCTGGGTCCTAAAAATCAAACAGAAAAGGGAGAAAGGAGGACAGGAGAGAAACGTTTAACTATGGTCATCACAGTGAAACATTATTACTGCTGATTATGCATTTCAAAAGCCAATTTATGAGATAAGCTTAGAATGCAAACAAAGGCCATTAGACACAGTCAACATGCCAGCAGCAGAGCTGAACAAAAATGAGAAACGAGATTGTGTTGGAAAGAAAAAATTCTTTTACTGATAAGTGGCAAATATTATAATTCCACTGCAAGCTTCAATGCATGGCAGAGAGAACGAATTAACCTGCTTCACACCACTGCACCTAATTTCTGGCTTGAATGAAAAATACTCTTAGTTACAGAGGCAAGATCAAGAGCAACTCCACTAAAACCAGTGGGCTTGTAGCAAGGTTCATAAATCCATCTACTCATCAGTGCCAGCTTTTGGAAATCAGAAAATCCAGGAAATACTCTGCAACAAAAATGTAACATTTCAAAGCCTGCCTATAAAGAAAAAAAAAAAATTAAAAATCTAAAAGTACCATCATTTTCCCCACATCTTTTTCAGAATTCAAAACAGATGGGTATTCGGCAGTTTTCAAGAGCTTTTCAGCATTTCATTTACCAAGAATACACTGTTCAAACAAACAAACAAGAAAAAAAAAACAAAAAACAAAATACCACAAAAACAAAAAAACAACCAACAACTTTCCTGTTAATAAGATATTCTATGACTATTTTAGGTATCTACCGATAATGTGAAATAAAACATTAATTTTAATTCAAAAATAGTACACGTATAGGGTAAATAATTTGTAAAGAATAATTTTCTTAGAAAGCATAGTAGTGGGACAAAACTGTGTGATCAGGTTTAAAACCTCTTGCCTCATATGCTTACCTAATAGGCAGATGTTCGAATGTCAGTGGTGCTCTCCACAGAGCAATATGCCACCCTGATCTGACTACCATCATTGAGCACTGGCCTAAATTGCAAAGTGCTTCAGTAAGTTCTGAACATGAACAGCAGTCATAGCAAGGGCTTACTACCAAACTTGCCTAGTTCTTAGAGTATCATGCAGTTTTAGAAACACAGCAATGATATGTGTGTTACACAGAGCAAACAATGACAGTTACGTGATCGAAATAGTTCTTCGAAATTTCACACCACATTTTCGTGGGTTCACAGGCCAGGCAGGGCAAGGCAGACTTCACTTTTCCCCTTTAAGTTTTGGAGACTTACTGGTGGATCTTCTTACGATTGCTCATAAAGATTTATAGACAGTATCAGAATCTTTATTTATATTTTTTCATTCTTCATCTTTGTGGCTTTACCAATTTGGCTGTGCCAGGAAAGAATGAGTAGGGCGTGTAATACAGGGAGGAAGAGAATTCGCTGGTAGAGGGTCATATTCATTATGCTTCGTCTTTATTATATACTCAAGCAGTTTATTTTCACTGTTTAACTACCGTGAACAGCTCCTCAGCATGCAGTGATTAATTGATTCATAAATCATGGTGCCTCTTTATGCACAGTAGCAAAAGAGTGGTTCTAGCCCCAGAAGCCCAAGAGAGTCATATAAGCTGATGGGAAACAACAGGAGGCTGAGATCTGATCAAGCCTCAAGCTGGTCATTTCTATTCTATGCACAAAGGGGGTCAGAGAATCAAATTGTGTCAGGAAGGCAGGAACTGGATTCTGCACCAACCCTCCCCACTTACCCTTCAGGAAAGGGACTGGTGGAAATCAGGGGGAAAAAACAGGATGCAAAAGATGTTAAATCTTATTTTCCATATCATACCATAAGTAGGTCAACAGACCACATCAGATATAGTACCCTATCCATGATGCCAGGTATAGAGGGGAAAGGACTCTCTGCTCTTCCCATAATGAACTAGACAAAGATACCTATATAGCTGAAGAGAGGTGTGAGTCTTCTTTCCAGGCTGCTCCACGTCAGTCCAGAAAAAATCCTTGCCAGTTCTTCCTTCAGCTAGCTAGTGCTACAGAGCTAGATGTTGTTCTTTGACAGTTAACTTCCCTTAGGCAACTGCTCTCGAACCCAGGTAATTATATACAACATTCAGATCCAGCAGCAGATCAACATGGGAATTCCTGGATACTATGATAAATATTCCAAGGAAATAAAGCCTTCTCTAAAGTAAGCAAATGTCAGCATGATACAAATATTCAAGTAGCACACCAACTTTAACGAGTCCTGGACAGCAGTGAATTCAGCTTCATCTCAGTGTTAAAACAAACATCAGATCATTCTCTGGTATAACAATAAACAGACAGACAGAGGGAGGGAGGAAGGGAGGGAGGGAAGACTGTTCCTCTTCAGCAGCAGAAAGGACACAAGCGCAGCCTGAACTGATTACTCCCAAGACTGGCCCTCCTAATCTATCAGACTCTACTATATGGATCCAAGCCTGGAATATGAAAGAGAAAGGTCAACAAAAAGCAAATAAATTTGGAGAAACTCAGGTTCCAGAAACACATTAGTCATATTTTGCTCTCAAAACAAAACTGATAGAGCCTGAAAGACAGTTTACTTTCTTACTCTGCACTGGGAAGCTCCACTATAATTTCACAGAAGAATCAGCTGACAGGCTTGCAACACATTTAGTGGGAAGGAGGACAAAGCTGGGCAGTCACTAGACCCTTGCTTGAATAGCAAGGAAATGCAGCTACATGGCACTTTCTGTTTCAATATTTCATCTGTAAGCAATCATCTGCACACATTCCCCTAGGAATGCTTATTTGTTCAGTAAACAGTATCTCGTCACATATGAAATAGTGATGGACAAGTTTCATTGGATAAGCACATTGAACTAGCTGCACTAAGCAGCACAGTTGGAAAGATTATATTCACTACTTGTGAAACTTGTGAGGTCTAAGAAACTCCACAGTCCCGGACATAAGAGTAGATCTGCTTGTAAAATCTGAGGTTGACACTGGAATAACATTTATATTCTGGCACTCATTTCCAGTCCTGACAGAACAAAGTATGGTGATACTGAAAACTGAAACAGAACTTTAAAAATCATGAAAGAGTTTAATTTGAGTTCAGGGCAAAGGTTCATGATGGTTTCTCTGATTGCTGTAATGGTTCACCCATCTTTAGTATAAACAGCATCACTATAAACTCCTATTCTTATAATAAACAAATGAAGGCGTGTAAGAGGTCTGAAAGCTTCAGATCAGTCACAACACAGACCATAGCATAAATGCACAAGGCAGCAGTGATCTAAAGAGAGTGCATACTGAGCTTTGTTGCAAGGAGCCTTTTCACATTATCTTTGAGTTTTCAAGCTCAAGCAAACACAAATTCCATCTATGTTTACTTGTGCACGTTCTCTACTGTAACCAGTTAGTAATTAACCCCTCATCTCCGGTCCTGAGCTAA